CCTCTGACCACCTCATTCCAGCAGCAGCAAAGATGCCTGGCCTCCATACACCTTGTGCTGGGTGAAATAGCACAGGGGAGCTGTGAGGCGTGAGCTCCAGGCCCATGCAGTGGGGTCCCAAGGTGTATGCATGGAACGCGCCATTGAAGTCGCATAGGATGGCATTGGTGATACAGCATCCAGTGTTATCAGACTGGCCCAACTGACTGCTCAGGGGGCTTAGGGACTGTCCAGCATATTATGCATACAAAGGTGTATGGTGAGAGTGCGACAAAGGTGTATGCCCAGACTGCGACTCAAGTCGCACTGTTTTCTGTAGCATACGCCTTTGTTGCCCTCTCCTGGTACGCCTTTGAAATTACAGTGTAGATATTCTGAGGGGGTGAGTCATATCGGGGGGGCGGTACAACAAATTGGACGCAGTGAATGCGTTAACATCTCTTTGGCGACACTCTGCCACCCCTAACGGGCCAAATGCGGCATGAAATATAAAGTCTATATTCCTGCAAAGTGCAAGGCACCAGGGGGTAGGGGTGCAGAAGGAGGGAGGTATCTTGTGAGTCTATCAAAGGGGTGAGTTGGATGGAGAGGGATGGGGGGGAGGGGGCATGTTGGTGGTGCCCGAGGAGCAAGGAGGGGGCGGGGGTTCCATTATGTAGACCAGTGGCGCGAAAAATGGGGCGGATACCGACGCCAAATATCTCCAAATACGGCAACGCTTCGGCTGGCTCTCCGCTGTGATGTGAGCGACAAGATAAGGAATAAAGTCCCGAGCGCGTAGCAGAAGGACCAGCCCAGCCGGGGCGGGCAAAAAGGACGCACAGCGCAGCTACACATTTCTTCAACATTTTCTTTTCGGTTTCAACAAGCCTCCCCATAAAATAAGTTTAAAACTTTCCTTCTTCCACGCGGACAGAGAGCAGGGCGGGGGCAAGAGAAGAAGGGGGAAAAGGAACGCTGCCAAAAGTTACATCATCATAAAGAAGGCAGGAGCGGAAGCTTAAGGTAACATGTACCAAAGCATAGCGTCTCCACCCGGATGATTTCTAACGATAAACTTTAATTCGTTAAGAAAACGTAACAATGTAAAAGCTTTTTTCATAAAAGGATGAAAACATTTTCCACACTTTTTGGAGGGGTGTGAAGGCGCAGGGAGGGTGTACCACGGAGGTATATTTCACCTGACGGACGGGGGCGGAATGGAACTGAAGCCTCGGCGGCAAATGTAATGGGCTCTCCTCCTCACCTAGACACGGCCAACTGTTCTATATTGCGAACCTCTAGGCGGCCACTTCTGTGGTTTTGCGAAGGACAGATGGGGATGGAGATTAAGTACGACGAGGTGGGAGTGAGAGAGAGGGAGAGCAGGGGAAAAGGGGGGGGAGGCGTGAGGAGAGCGAATCGAGGATGGGGGAGAAATGTGGAGACTGAGAGGGAGAGAGAGGGAGCACTGTTAAAAGCCTGCGAAGTATTTTGCTCCTTTGTAACTACGAAGCATTTACTTCGCAATTACAACGTGATGCTTTGCAATTACGAAGTGACACTTTGCAATTGCAAAGCGATGCTTTGCAGCGTTTTCATTGCTTCGCAATTGCAAAGCATCACTTTGTAATTGCAAAGTAAATGCTTCGTAGTTACAAAGGAGCAAAATACTTCGCAGCTCTGCAAAGCGAATGCTTTGTAGGAATTTAACAGTGAGAAATGGAGAGAGGGGGAGAGAGTGAGAGAGGGGGGAGAGGAGGAGGGCGTCACGTAGAGCGACGCAGGAAGGGCCAGGCTACCTGGCGGATGGCAGAGCTAATACACTGTCATTCACCCGACAGGCGGACGTCTTGGCCCACGCAGAAATAGATCCACCGCTGGCGGGCAGGGGGGCGCGGGGTGGTCGGGAACAAACGATATGACAGCCAGCGCCCCCTGGAGACCCAGCATGGCAGGGCCGGCTGGCACGGCGGGGCTCGCGGGGGGTGCCGTACAGCTGTAACCCGCTCTACCACAAGAGAGACTCACCTTGATCGCCGTGTGGTGGGGTCCTTCATCACCATCACTTCTGTGATTTCGCCGTATTTACTAAAATATTCTCGAAGACTTTCTGCAACAGACAAGAAGCAATACGGCAGGTATTAGTTTTGCGAACTCGATGAGAGCGCGCGCAATGTTGGACAAAACCAAATAACCTGGCAGGGACGGCGCAAGTACTCTGCCGCGTGCAGAGGAAGCTCTCCGGGCGACCCTTGGCCAGTCAAACTTGACGCTCGGCAGGCGGGTAGGGCGGGCCGCGGGTGCGGGGGGAAGTGAGGCTCAAGTCCGGGCAAACTCCACGCACCACCACGGCGGGGCGGGACCGGGCGGGACCGGGCGGGGCGGGTCAGCAGAGCTCTCACTCCCAGATCCACACCAACCGGTCGGCATTCATCCCACTCCAGTGAGCGCTCCACGGGGCGCTCCCAGCGACACGCCCGGCACCGCCACGCACCGCCACACCCAGAGTCCCCCTACAAGGGCGAGGCAGAGCTGAGCAGGCCAAGCAAATGAAACGGAAAATGGAGATGTGCCCCCGACCCCGGCCGGCCCCACCCCAAGCCACCCCTCCCGCCCCTGCCGCCACCGCTCTACAGTAACGGGTAGAGAGCGACCCTTTCCCATTCAAAAAAAAGGGGGAGCAAAAAAGGAGGGTTGTACTGCACTTGACAAGGGCCTAACCAGCGGCGTAGCTGAACGCATCATCCCATCAGTGAAACGAAACGTGCGCCGCTGGCCTTCATCAGAAGGCTGCGCGCATGACGGGGCGGGGCGAGGCACACCAGGGACGCCTCCTTCATAGATTGTCACACCATATTGACGTCCTGTCTGCATGCCGTCAGCACACGGGCTGGGCGGGGCGCCAGGCCGGCACATCTCCCCGGGGAGTAATCTTGGCGACCTCCCCGCTGCTATGTCTCTCCCCGTCCGCCCCTCTCTCCCGCCCTTCTCTCTTTTCCCCTCTTCCTCTCCTCGCCGCTCTCCAACGAGATGACGAGTAATAACGGTCGAAGCGATCAGCCTCTCAAAATGCCCTACTACCCTCCTTTTTACCGATACAAGCTTACAAGTGCAAGTGCATTGCCAGGAGACATTTGGAAAACTTTTCGATCAGATTTGAGCACTTTCAAAAGTTCAACTCCTCACATGTGCAATACACAGTAAGCAATGATACTATGTGTATGAGTATGTATATGTAGATGAACACTTGCTTCGGAAAGGTTTACCGAACCGACGAGTAACCACATGGTTTATCAGTGCATCAGCACCATCTTTCGCCGTGTCAAAAGAAAACCACAAAAATATACTAAAAGTAAATTGAAAATGCATGAGAAAGGGGGTATAGTCAGTGCGCCCTCGCCCCGGGCCACCGTCACCGCCCGGACACTGCCCAGACCGCCACGCCACGCCCTGGGGGCGACATGCTGACAACGCCGCAGCAAATCAGGCTCCCGTTGATATGTGCACACCGCACCGCACCCTATTCAGGCCCGGGAGGGGCCGGCGTGTAGACATCCTCGGCCCGATCCCCTCCGATACACACACGAGGGGGTCACGACCTGCCCAGGGGCTTGCACGTCTAAAGCGCCAAACAAGGATACACTTTGGTCGGCTGCGAAGAGGCAACGTATGACGCCGCCGTGGTTAACGTGGCGCAGCAAATTAATATACTTAACACTGTACGCGCGTACATTTTCATTTGAGAAAGAATTAGTACAGCCACACTGCAGCTCGCAAAGCATTGGTTTCGTAAGTTGCAAAGCATTCACTTTGCAGGTTGTAAAGCCATTAAGTTTACAGATTGCAAGGCATTATTGACTTTGCAGGTAGCAAAGCAGTGACTTTGCATATTGTTACAAGGCATTGACTTAGCAGGTTCACTGGAAAAACAAAGGTGCTAACTCCAAAGGCACTAAAACTGCCAAGGCGCTAAAACTGCCAAGGCACTAAAACTGCCAAGGCACTAATTTTTAGCACCTTTCAGGCTGTTTAGTGCCCTGTTTAGTGCCATTGAAAGGCACTAAACTGAAAATGTGTTTAGTGCCCCAGGCAAGGCACGACTTGGCACTTTTGTTTTACCAGTGTTGCAAGGCATTGACCGCATTGACATTGCAGCATTCAAAGGGATTGGCTTTGTAGCATGCAAAACAATTCGATACAGCTGGAAATTAAATGCTTTATTACAATTTTATAAAGAAGTGTTCTGTAGTCTACAAAGATCTTGAATACTCCACAGTTACAAGTCCATTTAAAGGCACGACGAAGTGACAAAGAATTTATCAGTATCTGAACGGAGTGACTCTTTCTTTACAGTCACAGTAAAAACGATGTCCCATAACTTTGGAAATAGGAAAACTGTGAGTAGAGGGAAACTCCTCAGATTTTGTAAAAATTTAAAACAAAAACTATTTATTGATGCGTGAGAGCCTCAAAATCTGAGGTCTTTTCAAAATGGAGGAATCCCTCGATAAGTTCACCCGTTTTCCTCAAAAAATCAGGTATCCTATGGAAACACTATGCAGTCTCAAACACCAAGGCCCTTTTTCTCAGAAACAAAGAGATAAAACAGGGCAGAGTGGGACCAATGCAAACGGTGGGAATTTAGTTTTAGGGGTAAGGTGTACCTGACAGCTTACGTCGGGTCAGGCTCATGCGTATGGCAGCACCGAGGGAGCGGGGGCGGCGGTGGGCCCGCGGGAGGCGCGCTGCTGAGCGAGGGGGGCCACTGGAGGGAGAGCCAGAGGGAGAGCGAGGGGGCGCAGGGGGGGGGCGCAGGGGGGGGGGGGCATAGGGGAGCAAGGGAGCTTGCGGGTTCCGAGACAGCTGCAGGTGACATGCTGTCAGAGCAACGCGACACTGCAGGGCAGGGCCACGCCAGAGGTGGAGCGTGAGGCACTGCGGGGAGGGAAGAGGGGACGAGAGGTTACGTGCACGGACCGATTCGAGAGGGTCGAACTGAGGCAGGCGCGCGCGCACACACACACAGCGCAGGGCCAGGCAGGGACGGCTGGCGTGTGGTGGACAGTCCCCGTTACAAAACGACGCTATTGGCAGCGTGTAGCGCCGTCGTGGTGCGCCTCTCTGCCATGGGAAGTGGCCGGCCCGACCGCCGCGCAGCCCAGCCTCTCCCTGTCGCCGCAAAACCGCCGCCCCGCGCTCCGCGCGTCCACTGAAAAACGGTGCGGTTAGCGTCGATCCCATCGCGTGGGGCGACGCCGATAATTAGAGAGGTCCTGGTGGCAGTCTCTCCCAGTCTCTCTCTCTCCATATTGCAAGAGGCCAGCTGGGGAAAGAATTCAAAATTTACGGCAAAACGTTTACAGTGGGACCTGTCGAACGCATCAAAAACGCATCTCGGGACGATATTTTTGTTCCGGAGATAGACGAGGAACAAGTCGACATTCTTGAAAGAGTATCAACTTCTTCCATAGTGCATATTCTTTGGCGGAGCTTCTATTCTTCCTTTAAAAATAAAATAACAAAACAATCCACCTTTTCGAGCAGAATACTTTTAGCCTCATGTTCCAGTGCGATTGAAATAAAAATGAAAAAAGAAATAATTAAAAAGCTGCAGCTCTCTGGCATGATGACGCTCTCGTCAGAGAAAAATGTGCGACGTGGTGTGGGAGCGACTGCACACGCAAGCGTGGCGAAACGAGGGACAGAAGAGCTCCAAAAAACAAAAAAGGACAAAGCAAAAAAGGTAAAGGGTATCCGGAAGAGAAAAGTTGTTCAACACACACACACTCGTTGCACGGAGTGGCGCGCAAGGGCAGAAGGGAAGTAACAAAAATGTTCCATTAGGCACTGCTGCCCTGATTGGGCGAGTTTGTAGCAGTGTCGCCGTGCAGACAACGTAAGAGGCCACTTTGACACAGCACTCACACTGGAAGCGAATCGCAATCCCAGGGCCGACTAGCTCCGACCAACAAATCGCTTCGTCCGACAGCAGAGAGGAAAGACGGGGAAAAGGGGGTGGGGCAAAGGAAGGGTTCAACCTCTTCTCTCGGCCGCGAAACAAAACGCATCCCCGTCCGTATACCGGCTCCTCGGGGGAGTTGAGCACGGGCACGGCGGGTAGCAGAGGTACCGAGAGGCACCCAGGGGGAGGATGGAGGGTGAGAAGTGACCTAGTCGGGGAGGGGGTCCACCGGGCCCGACCCGGCCCGGCACGGCAAGGTCAGAGGGGAAACCAATGCCAATAAGTTTGAAAAGCAGCGCGGGCGGGGCCTCACCCGGGTCGTGCTCTGCTGGCTCGGCTCGGCTCGGCCTTACTCGGCTTGGCCTGAGCGACCTCGGCTCGGCTCAGCGGCACCGGTCCCAGGTGGCGGGGCGGGGCGGGACTTGTCCGGCCGGAGGGGCTTTGTAGTGTGATTTGTGGGCTCGAAAACGTGTTTGTGTTGGTGTTGATGAAGGCGCGTGTGTCTGCAGCCACCACAACAGCAGCACTGGCGGGCAAAAAATTCCAACGGGAAGGAACGCACAGAAACAAGAAAACCGGAAAAAATACGCAGACAATAACGACTGAATCCAATATGACGTACAACGGATTAATTAGGAGAAAGCCACCGAATAAAAGAGGCCGGTACTCGTCGTCCTGAGGTAAAATTGCAGCAAGGGGTGGGACGGGGAGGGGCTCTGCTAACTGTTTTAAAACGGGCATTATGACAAGGTTGAAGCCGCCATTTATCACGGAGTGGGGGAAAGCGGGGGGCTGGGGAGGGGAG